AGGATTTCAGGCCCTAGTCTAACCCTCAGTGAGTTTAAGAGTTTAGGCAGGTTCCCTTGTGACTACTGCTGTAAGACAGATACTTTTTTCCCCTATAATATTAGATTCTTTATCCTTTCAAGTTGAGGAAGAAGAGGAGAGGAAAAATAAGAAAATAAATACTGGCCACTCAAAGAATCATTTTTTCTTTTCCATTCCTAATCACAGTTCCTCAGTTTCCCTGGACTCTTCCTCCCATTACACTTTTGTTGAATGAACAGATTGTTCCTCAGGGAAAAGTTGCTTCAATTGACAGATGAATGAGAAGGGGAAAAAAAGTTTGATCAAAGACCTATTATCCTGTCAACTTCCAAGGAATAATGCATTTTGAGCTGAAGGAGCAAGGCTGAGGATAATCTAGGGATTCCAGCAGGAGTGAGAAACCCTTCTTTCAGTCTGATGAACAGCGAAAATACTAACCCTGGCTTCACAAAACACACATTTAATTCTGAAACAGAGAACTCGGTTTAAAAAAAAACCAACACAAGCAGAACATGACATTAACTTTTAGACGCATTTAGGTCAGCTATATGAGCTCATTTCATGGTTTATTCCTTCTCCTCAGCATTCTTTCTTCTCTACCTTTCCAAAAAGAAATGTAGATGTGTGATCCTCTATCCCATTCTATGGGTTTCCAGAAGCTCTTTCACGTTCCAATAGTTACACCTCCCTCTCCTGTAGTTTATCTCCCTCTCCTGAGGTACTTGCAGGAGAGGTAGCAGCACATATTCCAGGTCTCTCTGCATCAGATTTGAGAACAGCTCACTTGTAACCTCCCTGCACACCATGACAATTACAGAAGAGACAGTATCTTACTTAAATGCACTGTAAGGTATCTGTACCTTCTGCTGGTGCCAATGCCAGGTGGGGGAAGAATGAACTGTTTTCCCACTGCTTGTGATTGCAGCCAGAGGATTTATTAGCAAATTAGATTTGCTCATAAAATCAAGGAAGCCAAAATGCAGGGGTGGCAAGGATTTGGCATTCTTGGGAAATAAACAAATAAAGGCAGTTCAAAGACAGAAAGACAAATACATAGGGGTGGGAACAAGGTTAAGATAAAAACAGAAGAAAATTAAGTAAATTGGGGGAGAAGACAGACAAACTGAAACCAGCATAAGAATAAACCAAGGTATTTGGAAAAATGGTTACAACAGGCAACTGTGCTTGCTGAAAATGTTATTTTTTTTTTAAATTTAAAATATAGAGGAAGAGGTGATATCACTTTTTCTACATGCTCCTGCTGCTTCCCTCTTTTGGTTAATTCTCCCTACCCTCCTCTTTTTCCCATCCCTCCATTCTTTTTCTTCCAAAAGTGAAAAACGCCACAAAATAACATTTCTTAAACCATTCTACACCACTAAGATACCAGCTATTTCCTATATTTAGTGTATCAAATAACAGGA